AAACAAGAACCTATTATGAGATTATTCACATGATTTATCATAGGGAAGGTATAGATTTGGTGCTAGGCACAAGTGAAGAAATAGAAATATTTTCCATCTCCATGACATCTGTTTCTTTTTCCTTATAAAGAACTTGTTTGTTTTCTAGATTATGGTTGTTCGGTTCATTGTCCCTGCTCCCTGCACCCACAAAGGTCAGTGTTCAAGCAACAATCTTTAGCTAATATACCTTTTGACATTTGCAACCATACCAAGATTAAATTATAAATGATATGTATTTGTAGTAAATTCGTGGCCCAATATTGCAGATGCAGCTCACGAACAAATTTATTATTCAAGCACGGTTAGAGAGCACCCTATGAATCGACTGCACCATTTTGAGTTGCTTTATTTACGAAGGCATTCATGCTTGATCATGTGGAAAAAAATGTTGGCATGCAGACCCGCAGGAGGCTATAAGAAAATTATCTAATGCCATTGCAAAATCTGATAGAGATTGGCTTGTCAGGAAGTGTTCTTGAACAAAGAGATTAGCATAAGGAATTATAACTGTGTTCTTTTTTTGCAACAAACCATTTTGATAGGTAGTTCTGGTAAGGTAGTCTGTTTTAACATTCTATTGCTCAGACCACTCTCTCATCCGCACTTAAAAATCCATAATCTGCTCATTCTATTCAGAACATAGTCTGTTTTAACATTGTTTTGGGAAAGAGGCATGAAGCACACCATGTAACCATTACTGTTCGTGCTAATTAGAAGAACGAGAAGAAGAGATGTCTAATATCGTATTAAAATCTTGTGTGATGTTTTAGAGGATGGCGAAGGCGGTGCAGGGAGCTGACGGCCTGTCCGCGGTGAGGAGGTGATGGAGAAACAACCCCACACTTGATGGGTAGGTGCAGGGCGGGGAGGGTGCCGGCCAGGAAGGCGATTTTGTACATGAATGGGTGTCTTTAAGAGTGGCTTCAAAGTCTATATTTGAGATGACGGCTCTCGGCAGAAGGCGAGGGCCCGTCTATTAGACGGATGACCACGTGGTGGCCTTCTATTCGTTAGCGTTTGCGGAGAGCAGGCTCTCGGCAAAGATCAGTGAGTAGCTCAGACTTCATATGAATAATCAACTAAAAGAATAGGTGAGTAGTTGAGACTTCATATAAAGAGCAATAATGTAATAGGTATCCAGGCATTTTCTGTTTATATCATGGATGTATCTTCGTTTCTGATTTTTTGTTTTGGACAACTCAAACACCTTGTTTAATACTTTCTTCGCGGACTAACTGTTGTTGAAACGAGTATATCTAGATACACTTGTTACAACGAGAGTTAGTTCTGGACGGAGCTTGTATTTACAAGCCTTTTTTGCCAACTGTTCAAATAAGCTCTTATTTTGTGTAAATGGTCAAACAATGCACTTCAAATAATTAAGTTGTTATCCCAGAAATATTTTGGAAGATGTTGTACTTATCATCCCAGATAATCCTTATTCATTACACAGACTGCATTTTCATTTATTTATTTTCAAGAATAGCGCATATTACATTTCTGTACTACTATAGATGTTTGATATATTGTGCGTATAGACTAGCACATATCACATTTCTTTGCAACTATAGACTAGCATATCACATTTCTTTGCAACTATAGATGTTTGACATAATGCGTGTTAGTATATACGTGCACATTCATGCACGGTAGCGCACACGTCCACGTGATCCGCTTTCTTTTATACTCCATGTATAAACAAATATAAGACCGTTTAGATCGCTACTTCTTTCATAGAGGGAGTAATTTGTTAATCGATAATCGATGATACATTTGGTACGTGGACGTTGGGCTGCTCCAGCCAGCCAGTACACTTTTTACGCGGGCTTCCGCGGGTTAGAGAAAAAAACAACTTAAACAAAACCAAGCCTTTTTCATGTGTTCTGGTGCACCCTAGAAGAAAAAAGATACTCGACTGATACAAAACCTATTTTCAGGCACATGAAGAATAGCAAAACCGATAGTAAATACTAGAAGTTTTTTTTTTTTGAGAATCACCTGGGGGTAGTTTCACCACCTGAATATATTACTCAAAGTGGCCAAAATGTCAGAGTGGTAATCCAGTTTATAAGGAAAACCGGATCGAAAACCTTAACAAATTGACCTTGTTTATAAGGGAAATCGGGCCAAAAACCGTACAAGGCACGACCAAACTGGCAGACAAAAGACCATACCCATGAGATACACAAGTAGATGTGGGGTGCCGTCGTATGATCACAATACCAGGACTTTGCAAACAGCCGAACGCATCGGCGGGCATACCGGCCCCATGGCACAACTCAGGAGCATCCACAATCAACGAGTGTCATCCCAAACACGAACCTTGACTGGGGCTCCACCACAGAAAAACGGACGAATAGCAGTTTGAGAGGCATCTTGCGCCATCCTTGAGCAAAAATGAGTCGAGACAACACCAAGAGCACCAAGCTCGCCGCAACACAACGGTAACCATGAGAGGGTCTTGAGCAACCATTACCAACCTGGACCGCACGAGAACACCACCACCATAGACGAAGAGCACCAATCAACCGAGACCATCCATGATGCCTTAAGGCTATTGGCGCAGCCGAAAGGCAACGAGCAACCAAATCCACACCCGGACGAAGAGCCACACGCAGCCGAGTCTACATCACAACAGCGGCACCGCCGGCGAAGCCGAAGGGCATCAAGGAGCCGAGTCTACACCCGGATCGCTTCTCCGAGCACACCAGCGCAAGCCGGCCGCACCACCACCACCGTCCAACCCGCAGTGAGCAGCTACCATACAATCCACCAAGCTGATGCCTTCAGGAAGGAATGCGACGCGAAAAGCGCCGCCATCGGTCGTTCCGGACAGACTAGGAACATGGGTTTCCCCAGGAGCCTTGAAGGGGAAGTCACCATGACAGCAATGCCTCCAAGGAGGTAAGCGGCACCCGCGGGCATCACCATCGCCGGCTCCAGCAGGAGCAGTGGCTTTTGCCCAAGTGAGCAGACCACCTCCGAGGAGCTCCGGTAGACTGCGAAGCGCTGCTCCCTGCACCACCACAGAGGAAGGGTCACTGCAGGCCCCCGCCGCACGTGACCAAATCCGGTCCACCGCAGGCCAGATCCCGCCTGCCCACGCCGCGCCCCGTCGACCACCATGGCCGCCGGCCGCAGCCAAGCAACAGTCACGTCCACGCGCACCACACGTGCCGCCACTGCTCTCGGAGAGCAGATCTGCCACACCCGTGGCTTGACGCAACCCCTCCTCACCGCCACGGGCCTTTGAGCCGCCCAGGGCCTCCACGCGCCAGCGACGAGCACGGCACCAGATCCGACTGTAGACTAAATACTACTCCCTCCGTTCCCAAATACTTGTCTTTCTAGTCATTTCAAATGGATTCAACATACGGATATATGTAGACATATTTTAAAGTATAGATTCACTCATTTTGTGCCGTATGTAGTCACTTGTTGAAATCTCTAGAAAGACAAGTATTTAGGAACGGAGGGAGTAGAAGTGAAAGCATACTTTGCCGCGCCACTGGATTTCGGCAACCAATATAGCGGAGTACACGCATTAGTCTTTGTCCATAAGAGAATTCAGAAAACATAGACACCACGTGCAAGTATGTGTGAACTATGTGCAAAAATATAACTAAATTTTAGATCTAGTCTTTTTTTAAACAAAAAACACTCAAAACCATCTCGTCCATTTATTGAAACACTTACATTACGGGTTTATTTGCATTTGAGATAATTTCCTATTTGGACTTCAGCTTGAAGCCTCTTTATAATTTGTAAATCAGTCTAAAAATAGAAAAAAAGACACTTGCTAGCTATGAGAAATTATTTATGTATACCAAGATAAAAAATATGTGAAATGTAAACGTTTATGTATTATAAAAAAGTGTTCCTATATGTGAAAATGAATGCTAACATAAAGAAAATCTTTTTATGTGGATGACTCTGGATCCTTCGAGCACGCTTACTACTCAAACGCCACTCTAGTTAGTTTAGTCTCCTTAATTTTTCCGTTTGTAGTTTAGTAAAATGTCCTTTTATTCGTTTTCCCTAGCAATGTACTAGAGTATATTATTTCAAAACTCTGGCTTGGGTACGTAAGAAACTATGGATGATGTAGTTACATGGTTTGTGGTGACTTCCTATTCGGTTCCTGTGGGGTCAACAAACATTACTTAGCACGAAATTGCTACAAAGTCCTGTGCACTTGTTGGACATCACCCAACTCCTCTAATACCAAAAGAATAGTGGGAAAAGGAGTTATGCAGGAGATGCTCTAAGCGACATACTTGGAGGCGACGCCTAAAGGAAAAGTTTAGTGGGTTGGCTAATGGCGTCGCCCTTTGACATGTATTTTTTTTTGCCATTTTAAATCCCAAATTTATGATTTGTAAATCAGTCTAAAAATAGAAAAAAGACACTTGCTAGTAATGTGAAAATGTTTATGTATACCAAAATAAAATTTTTATGTAAAATTTAAATGTTCATGTATTATAAGAAAAGTGTTCCTATGTGTGAAAATGAATGCTAACATATATAAAAAAATCTTTTCATGTATGGGATTGTGACATGAAGTAATGCTCATTTATATAAAGAAATATGTTCATGCGTATTATTATTTTTCCTGTATTTAATGAATAATTCCATGTATTAGTATGAAAATAAATGTAAAGTAAAATAAACCAGAAAAAAGGAAGAAAAAAAATGTGAAAAAGTTAGAACAAACGCAAAACGAGACAAAAAAAAGAAAGAAGAAACAGCAGCTCCCAGGCTATCTATCCTATTGGGCCCAGCCCACACTTTGGGCGAGAACACCACCCAAAAGCCCGTGTTCTTCCTACTAGCCGTAGGGGGCTTTAAAACCGGCCTCGCCTGTCATCCTTTCCCCCCCGTCTTCTTCGTCCGGCTTCTTCCTTTTCCTTCGGCTTGCCCAGATTCGTCCTGGTGTTGCTTCCAGCTGCACCTGCACCATGGCTGCTCTCCCTCCTGCACCCCCCTACTTGGTCGACTTGCTCACCTACGGCTACGATGCTTTCTGCACGCCCAATAGATTTTGCATGAACTACATGACCCCCATCTGCTCCCACTGCTGCCCGAACCATGCAGCGGCGCATCACGGGGCGCAGTACCGAGATCCACGGTGTCCAGAGGTGCGTTTCGCCCCCACCCCCACTGTTAAACTCACTAAGGTTTGCATCACAAATTGCTCAAAGCGATCAAAATTCGTTAGGTGCGTTTCATGTACGGGGGTTTCGGGCATTGTGTCGAGTATTTCGATGCAAACAGATGCGGCTACAAGTGGGAGCAGATCCACAGGGTTAGGTACGGGCAGGAAGTTCTTGTCCCACTCCACCGACGAGCTGGTGCGCGGCAACGCCCAGGGCGAGTCCGCAGTTATTGCAACAGGTGCAATGATCCTATGGCTTCGACAGAAGCGTCGTGCTCCACCGAGTGCAAGGTTGATTTCTCTTTTCTTTAGGTTCTTTACTTACTTTTCTTGCCAAGGTTCTCTTCTTGGAATTCTTGCATTGCGCCAAGGCACCATACTCATCTTTCTTGTTTCAATTCGGCTCTTTACGGTTCTTAATCTTGCCCCACCCACTTTTGGCAGCTCGCGGTGGTCGACGAAGGGAGGCCTGCAGGGAGGGCGAAGGCACAGGCCATGGTGAATGCTGACTTCCACCAGCGATTCTTCCCCGATAGGTTTTGTACGCTGTGCAGGAGATTTTACGCCTCGGCTTTCTGCGGCACTCATGCCCAGTCGCACCATCCCGGGCAGGGCGGCGAGATTATCAGATTTGTGCGAGCCCAGGGGATGGTGCTGACGCCGGTGGCGGGAGTACTGCCCGGCCATGTCGTCGACGGCGTACAGGTAAAAGAGTCAATTTTTTGTGTGCAATTTCGTCAATTCCGGAGAGACTATGCTGCAGCTGAGATACAAACTACGTACTTGATCAGGTCATCTACGTTGGTGGCATCCCGATGGTTCCCATTCTCAGCCCTGCGGTGCCTGCAGACCTCGAGTCCGAGAACATGTGCCCCATCTGCTATCAAGTAATCGGAGCCGGCAACTTCTGTTCTTTGCATTGCAAGGTAAGTCTGTGGCTTACTTGATCAGTGGACAGTGAATGCCAATCGCAGGATAGATTAGTCACCGTGGTCCCTTTTCTTAATTTACAGGCCACTGCTAGCAACTGGCTTCCGTTAGCATGATCGAGCCAAGAAGTTGAGACAGGGTGCCCTGAGTGCTGACAGAGTGAGGATGATCGGTCAGGGGACTGACGGAGCGAAGACAGAGTGCCCGAAGCTCAGAGTAGCAGGAAGGGACGAAGCTGCTGGCAGTGTAGACAGAGGGCTAGTGGCCGGAGTGCTGACAGAGTTCTCTGGAGAAAACGTTCGAAACACTGTCGCGAGTGTCTTGGATGATCGTTCCCTTTTATTTTTCTTTTGGACTTGATTACAATTTCGTGCTCAAGTTGGAGGCTTGCTGCAATTTGGTGCTGAAATTGGAGGTTTACTGCAATTTGTGTGCTGCGAGCCTGCGAGTAGGGCCCTGTGAGACAGAGAGGGAGAGAGGGGTGGGTGAGATCCGGGAGGGAGATTCCCCTGTGACCGGCCGCCATCGCCGGAATCGGTAGGAACGCCACCGCTTTCTCCTCCTCTTATTAGGTTTTTCCGGCCGCGGGCGCTGCGCCGATTAGTTTGAGTCCTCGAATTTGCGGTCTCCCATCCGCGCCTCGCCTCGCCGCCATCGAGGGAGGGTGGTTGGGCGAATCTCGCATCCGCGCCTCGCCTCGCCGCGACTTGGGGAGGGGGGGTTACGTGGGTGGGTTTGCTTTGGAGTTCGTTGATTCAAATTTTTTGCTCGCCCATGATTTGATATTTGCGAGTACCTGTATGTATTGTGTTCTGCGGTGGTTGCTGGGAAGCCCTTTAACATCCGGGGGTTGCTGATAGAATTCGAAGTCACAGGCCTTTTTTCTTGTAATATCAGTCATTGACAGCTAGGTTTATCCACGTGTTCATTAGTTCAGTCCCATGATGTTCATTTACCATGCCATGTTATTGGGATTGTCACTAATAATTAGATAATGACAGCATGCGTATTGCATAGTCCAGTGCTGCAGTTTGCTATTAGCTAGAATCTGCATAATGTCAGTGGACTAGTTTTCGGGACTTGCAGCGATGGTCTGTGCTTCCTTCGTGTGTGGGGAATCCGCTATCTCGGTGGGGGAGGTTGAGGTCTGCGCGTTGTGCCGTAGTCTGGAGGAAGAGGGAGCTTGAAGACATCGGCAGTGGTGGGATTGGAGTGGTGCCATGGTTCAATCATGTCCGTCTGTAGATGGCTGTGCTTTAGTAGTAGTAGAACTTCCTGCTTCTTTGATATAAACCTTGTCAGCAAGTTGCAGTTTGTGGACTGAAATATTGTTGACAGGTTAGTACTTCATTCTAGTAGTAAATTGCATCGGCAACCGGGTGGGTTGGCACCTGAAGCAATACTTGTAAATTATACACAAGCAACTCTTGAAAATCTGGGCGATTTTATGCAACAATGATTAGCCCATGAATTTCCTTGCCATGTGGTCTTTGGTGATAAAAACCCGGGGCCAGATAAAATTAAGTGGTTCTATGGCTTAGGCATTATCTAGATTAACTGAATCAGCCGATCAAAGAACTCTGGTGATTGTAGATTTTCTTCATATTTGCGCATTGACGAATGATTCTGTCAACAACCAGCAGGTCTGGGTGTATGTAGAGGGTCACCAATGTATTGTTTTCCCCTTTTCTGCCCCCCTGCTAGAAGTAAAATTCAGGGATGGACCATCTTTGTTGTAACCAACATTAGATCTCTGTATCCTCCTTTGATGTGCCTTTTCCCACTGCAGTTTCCTAAAATAATTTTTAGTTAGTTGGTCATATGAGATTCATTTAGAATGTTGATAGTTTTGTTTAGCCTATTAGATTCAGTTTGGTTTAGTAGCTTTTTCACTGGGTAATGCCTGTTGTAGTCCTCTGTCTGGGTTGATTGATCATTGAAAAGTCACGTTCACGTATTTGAACTGGTATCTTGTCAATACTTGTAATTCTTAGTTTTAATTCTTTCCCGAGTACTCTTTTCTTTGTCATTTTTCAGTTATATTTCTTTCCTAATTGCTCTTTTTTCCTCTGATTCGTCAGTTTGAGTTCTTCTTTGTCTTGTCATTATTCAGTTTTAGTTCTTCAGTTTGTCAGTGTTAAAGAGGAATTCTTTCCTGGGTACGTTTGTCTTTCTCTTAGTTTTACGGATTTGCTAATTTTCAGACGGATGAAAATAATTGGCGTTCATTCGTTTTCTTATCCGTCCGATCTCTCCGTTGAGATTAGTGCTATTCTTTTTTTTTAGCTTGGAGCTGGTTTGGTTGTTATCGGGGCAGCAATTATTTTTGGGGAGACCCGTTAATTCTCACGCCTGGCGTCTCCTAGCTGAGTGCCCTTTCATTTTAATTTTTTCCTTTCGTTTTCCTGTAACGGCCCTTGTCTCTTCCCCTTCCCATTTCTGCGACGAGAGCTCGGTGAGATAGAGAGGGAGAAGCATGGCGATTTCGATTTGGAGCTCTCCTGCGCTGCTCGCTTGAGGGATTGGTGGTCAGGTGTTCGGAGCTCGTCAGGCCGTTGTGGTTTTTATTTTCTCCCCTCCCTGCATCTCTATCCTCTGTTCCTTGTTCCCTTCTGTTTTCCTCGGAAGATTTGTGGGTTGCTCGTGTGCTGTTATGTGTAATTTTAGTTGATGCTCCCTCGTTAAATGCTTGTGTTATTTTCTCCGCTCGTTTTTGCCTGATTCTGTTCTCTGCGTCTAGATGTTTGTGGTTTTGATGTTCGTGTCCTGGGTTTCTTCAGCTAGACCGTTTCGATCTGAAATTTTATCTGCTAGTGGTTAGTTTGTAACCTGATTTATGGAGATTTATGTTAGTTATCTACCCAGTAGCTATTGATTTTTAGATCTGGTATCCTTTTGCTGTGAGTTGAGCTGGGAGAAAATTAGTTCATCATACTACTTCACCTGCTGGATCGAGGTGCTGTTTGTAAATGCTATTGATTATGAAATAGCAGATGAGAGGGAATCTGTTTTTTGTATCCATTGTAGGGGCAGTTGGATTTGTCTTTGTTCTCTAGTGCTTGTAATCCATGTAGGTGAGGGTGGTAGTCTGTGTAAGTGTAACTTCGTGGTGCTGTGTAATCCATGTACTTCGCCTGTTCGATCGTGGTGTTTTTTTGTAAATGCAATGTCTGTATATAGCCCTGCTCCTCCAGTGTGCATTGGCAGCAAGGAAAAAAGCAAGTTTCTAGCTGGCTATTTCAGGTTAGTTGGGTTTCCTTTTTGTTTTTTAAGTTGCCTGCCATTGTAATTTATCTTGCTTGGCAGTGTATTCCATTGCCATTTACTGTAGGCTTGCCTTTGTAATTAGTTGATCGCCTCCATAATATATGTTGCTTGTGAGTGTATATTTTCTCTTACTGTTTTATATCCAGTGATAGTACTGTAAGCACTTTAATGTGTTCTTTTTGTCTTCTAAAATGCAAATTGTTTCTAGAACAATAGGAACTACCCACGATAGTAATTTCATTGTAAAATGTAATAAAAGCCAGAATGCAGTAAAGCGTGGACTATGCATGTCTGGATTTTTTACAAGGATTCTTTTAGTAATTGTCTTACACAACTACATTATTTTTTCAACCATAGTTCTTGGTGTCTTTCCCAGTCTAGTCTTACAATCAGTTTTGTGCTGTTTATTTTGGTCATTTTTACAGTGCGTATGTTTCTGAATTACATTGTAATCTAACATGTAATTAACAAGCTAGGATGCAGTAAATTTTGGAGTTGTGTAATATTTGTGGTTTGTCCTTCTTGAGTATTTGCATCCATTTTAGAACCATTTCTTTTATTTTTCTATGTTTTGGGTGGTATTGCATCTAAGTTCACAGCAGCTTCATGACTAGTTCCATTTCAATTACAGTGTAATCTCCTCTGAAATTGCAGTTTAATCACTGTGCAATTATAGTGTTGTTACAATGTAATTTCAGAGTAATCACAGTATGATTTTTAGGGTAATTACATTGCAAATCACAGTGCTATTTTGATGTAATTACAGTGCAAATTCACTTAATTTACAGTGTCGCTGCAATGTAATTTCCAGGGGAAATCAATGTGTAATATACTGAATCAACGTTTGTTTCAGAAACTTTGCCGTGCACAAGAATTTCTGCTTGTCTACTAATTTCAACAGCTTGATAGTAGTAATTTCAGTATTTCTGCTACTGTAAATTTTATTTTCTTTTGCCCTAGTGCTTTTCAAACCAAACTGACCAGTTTTTTTTTTTATTTTAACTAGAGTGCTCTGTGCAATACACTCCGTGGATAGAAAGAATTTGTGATCTCTGCTTTTCGGTCTTCTGGTATTACAGGTTCTTAGATCTCAGAAAAAATCACTAGGCATGAGAAAAGGAGTTGGAATTGAGTGACTTGTGACATGTGGATCGTCTCGTGTATGATTGTCTCTTGTACGAATCGATTTTGAAAAATTTGACGTTGTCTACCTAGCTGTTCCCAACCAGACAAATATAAAAGTATGGCTGACCTTATCTTCTTTTATATTATGTTCTTGATTTACATTGTTGGTATCTTATTTTCTTGTTTTCTTCCTTTATTCATGTGGAACAAGGTCTTTACATTCAAGTTTATGAAAGTGTGGTTTACAAGGACTCAAGGTTCTAATCATTTTCAAGCGCTGACATTCCCAACTTGAGGATAAGGTATGCTAATGATACGTTTTTCAGCGAGTTCAATGGCGGGGATAAGTTCTAGTTACTGATTTCCCCGCAAAAAAAAAGATTCTTTGCTGATGTAAGCACTTCTTATTTTTACACTTTAAATTTCGGTAGTTCTACTCTTGGTTTGGGGGAGCACAGCATGCGCCTGTTAGGCTGTCTTTCTGCAGACCCGCCTCAGCTGGTGAATGAAATATTGTTGCATAACACAACCGAGAAAATTTTGTGTTGAACAGATAGCATGCCTCATGCTTAAGATCGTTAGAGCATCTAAGCCGGCCACCCCAAACCCGCCTCAAACGTTCTGGCGGACGGCCCAACAACTGACCAATCACAAAAGTTTGACCTAGACGGGCGTTTCAAACGGGTCTCAAACGCCTGGGCTGATAGGCACCCTTCACATCCAACCCAAATATGGTGCAGATATGGGGGCGCCCAGGCGCGTCCGCCACGTCGGACCCGGCCCACACTGGCTCACTTGACTTCACATATATTCCTCTCCATTTGAACGCTGGACCAAACCTTAACCACTTTACTCCACTCTCCCCCCTCCCCGCACCCAAGCTCCCGCCCGGCGATCTCCGGTATGGTGGACAACAGATCTGACTCCGACTAGTCCAGAATCGTCGACTAGGGTGTCACCTCGTGCGGGTTGGAGGAGGCGATGGCCGTCCGCATTGCACTACGCCACTCTCGAGAGGACGGCGCCCGACCGATGACAGGATCTTTCCGGCACGACTTCATAGCGTCGACACATTGGGAGCCTTCAAATCTCCCCTTCCCTATCACTGCTCCGACAGAGTATGAGTCCCACCGGGACCGGTGTGCTCGCCGTGAGAAGGAGAGGATAAGGACGGTGGAGGCCCGACTCGTTGCCGACATGGAGGCGACAGAGGCAGCTGATGTGGCGGCGCGGGCGACCAAAGAGGAGGAAGCCATCTGCGCCCGCATTGTAAAGAAGCGGCAGTGGAGGAACATCCGCACCCTCGTCCGAGAGCAGAATCGTGCGGTCCATGCCATGGCCGGACTGCCACCCAAGGAGGAGAAGGATGTAAGTGCGGATCGGACAACTTCGGCGACGAGCAGATCCGGCTCGATCCCTACCGCGTCTTCGACAGGTACTTCCGTGAGGACGGCAAGGGCGCCAGGAAGGGCAAGGGCAGCCAAATTTTGGTAGCCCGATGGCATGTTAGTGATGGAGTAGCTGGATGATGTATGAAATGCACCATTTACGTAGTTACATGAGTTTATATGGATTTGAGGTATGCTAATTGAGATGTCTGGTTATGAGAAGGTAATCTGAGGCTTGATCGGTCACTGCCCGCGGACGTGTCCGGGCACGTCCGCGGGCGTTTGAGGGGTCAAATTTGTCAAGTCCGGCTGTTGATGCTATAAGAGAGAAAAGTTTGTGTCAAAGTTGTATATTTGTCCATTCAATAGATGCTTTATTTGTTTTTAGTTCTTATTCAATCAATCTTTCTGGGAATGTCTTTTTGGTGAGAGACCAAAAGACATGCATGGAATTTGTTGTAGCTT